GATATTATCCCTCTCTCCCTACTACTTCTGTGATCAGATTATGCAGAGTAAGGGAGAGACCGAATCAGAATGGAAGAAGGAGGTGTAAGGGAGAAAGGATTTCTCTTAATAGCAAAGCATAAGAAAATACAGATATTCTGTACCATGTAACTAGCAGGGTTAATAAATGTTAAATAACATATTTTCATTTTTCCAGTATCTTTAGCTTGCTTTTGCCAAATGCCTACTCTATGTCCCTTGGAAACGTTCCCTATCAATCATTCCTAAAAATAGAAGCTCCAAGACCCCTTGAAATATTAGAGAAAATGGGATCCTGCCTAATAGCTCCACAGAATGAAGTTGCTGAATTGACAGAACAATGAAAGCCATCAAGAATCTTTTCAATCATCTTGTTAGCATTTCTTCCCTTATAGGAAGGCTGTCTTTCACGCACACAAAGAACAAAATGCAAAAAAGTATTCTTGGGTTTTTACCTTGAATGGTTTCAGTACCAATGACATACATTCTGTTAATTGTTCCTTTTCACATTTCTCTTGGCATAAGTATGTTTAAAAGTGGTCAGACTGTGTCTACATAGTTTCATTTCTTGAAAGGCTATCTCAATGCTACTATAAAACTTTTGCAAATCAGAAAGTTTAGCTTACTCTTCAGGGTGTTTTAAAAGTTAGTATTAAAATAAAATGAGCTTCTTATCTTCCCCACAAACATTTGAGGATACTTAAAAAAATGTACTGATAAAATAAGACAGATTTAGCTATTGATTCTTGGAATTCTTAAACATTTTTATACAACAAAGAACACCATGGGTATGCGTGGGCTGTATTTTTCTTTTATCGTGGAAAATTCTTTTATTATGGCAAACTGGTTTGTCAGGAGAAATTTCCAGTTTTTCCATGAGAATTTGAAGATAATGAGATCCTTTAGCCATCTGATGGTAAAGAATAGAGTCTTCGATGCTATATTTGGAAATGACTTAAATATGTTCTAGCGGCAAGGACACAGCTCCAGCGGGGTAGAAGTAAATCAATTTCACTAATTACTGGAACAGAGGAATATTCTTTTCACAAAGAGCTTTTGAGTACAAGGGGAAGAAGCAACCCCCAACACAAATGCAGCTGACGGAGGTATGTACGCCTCTTCCTTTTCTGTTCCAAAGCAAATGTTTCTGGTACAAGTAACCATAATGATTCTTAAAGGGAGAGGGGTAAAGGCAGAATGCCCTAATTTTAAGGGCAATTCGTAAAAGCAATTTAATGTTACAATACAATTTTATATCTGAAAGATGAGAAAAATACTTGCTGCAGTCCCAGTGCAAGTAAAGCTCAGATCTGCAGAAGTCAATCACCATTTACTGTGGCAAGTATTCTTAGAGGAGGAGGTTGGCCACTGGAATGCTGTAACAGAGTCAGAGCGCTGATGGTGGAGAGGGTGGGCCACATGTTTGGTTTACCCACAGGGAGGCAGCGTGCTGAAAAAAGGCTTGTGAAGCAGAGCTCCAAGTTCTCCGAGCCTTCTGTCCATTCCTACCTACCTCCTAATTGCCTGTTTCAGCTCCTAGCATCTCATTTTGTTATCACTGCCTACATGGAAAGCTGGCAGGAAGGTTTTAGGAAGAGAAAGGGAACACCATCTAAATTTTCTCACAGCTCCTTTTTACTAATAGGGAGAATTAGAAAAAGCATGTGAGGAAGAAAGAAACAAATGGAGGGAAGAGCTAAAATAGGGGTGAGGTAAATGGATAAAAGGATAGACACATTCTCATTTCCCCATTGCTATTGATCTTCCCTTCGTGACTGACCAAAAAAGTTATGTACTTACTCATTTTCTAAATAAAACCTAAATGAGGTACATAAAGTATATCCAGTTAGCACTACTATATGTTCATAGGCTATCTTAAAATTCACAATAATGACAAACCTAGGCTAGTCTTAATAAATGTAGGCTGTGAACAGTCTACTAACTGGGCTGTAGAAGCATGAGCAAATGATAATAGTATACTTTAAAATGAAACAAAAAGCAGAAGAAAATCCTACCACATAATTAGTATGGCTTTTGTTATTGTTAAAAACACTTCAGTACAGGACTCATTTTCAAAATGGTGGTTAATTCGAAGTCAAATTATATTGCTCAAGCTACAGGGACCAGAAGTCAAGACTTTTGGACTGACTGTGTGTAACATGTAGATACTCAGAATTTCAGATAAGGTATTTTTATTTCTCATCTGTTATAATATAAGCATTCTAGTGATAACAGAAATGAATTTACCTCTGAAGCAACTCAGAGACTATACTTGGCTCTATTTTTCATGAACTTCAATCAATAAAAACTTTCTTTTGACTATCTCACAAGGGGCAGGAGAGAGAATGCATCTTGTTGCTGGCCTTAGGTTATTCTAATGATCTGAGCTAGGAGAGTAGGTGTTGAAAGTGAGTATCAATTAGCACATATTTGGTATGATACGTAGTATAAAATGTGACCAGAGCCTTTTCCTCTGACTTTCAGATTTTAAAATCTACTTTCCAATTTGTAGTTATATAAAAACTGGTGAATCAGTTTATAAACCAGGCAACCAATAATGCCAACAAAAACAACAGATTTGGTAATCTACAATAGGTTACTGGCAGTAACAAGATTAAAAGCTGGAAATGTTTTTTTAAAAGCTGGAAATGTTTGAGCTGAATGAAAAAAATTTCATTAAAGTTCAAAATTATTAAGATTTTTTTCTGTAACATAATAACCTAACTACTGATATGAAATATAGAACAGTTCAAAAGTAAGTATTTCATTTACATTAAATGTAATTATTTAAAACAAAAAAATTTTTTCATTTATTTAAAGAGAGATTTTCTTTAGGAAACCTTAAGGATATTTATTTAGGCATATCTGAATTTCTGGGCAAAGCCACCACCTTATTTCTATAAATTGTCTAATTATATCTAAAAATGGCCCATTTTTTCCCATTAGAAATCATCTTACTCTGATTGTGCAAATAAGCATTCAAATAATTATCATAATTCTTTTCATTACCACAAAATTTAAAAATTGGACCAATATAACTTTAGTTCATGATCTAAGAAATAAAGGCAAATAAGAAAAAGGCAAATTACTGGCAAATCTCTACTGACATGTAGAGGGAATAGAGAGGATCAGTGAAAAATTGAGATTTTTGGAAGTCACCAATAGGACTATTAGCATTAGCCTTTCCGACAGCACAGGCTTGGCAGAGTGCTGAGAGAGGACCAAGGGGAACAGAAACCTCAGTCGAATCTGGGTCATTGGGCAAAGGGCAGAGACAGCTCAACCTTGGAAAGGCAGCTGAGGAGAATCACCTTAGCAAATGGTATTTCCATATACTTACCTGAACTTTCCTAGGGTTTTTTTTTTTTTAAGTTTATTTATTTATTCAAGTGACCTCTACCTCCAACTTGGGGTCTGAACTCACGACCAGGAGATCAGGAGTCGCCTGCGCTGATTGGGCCAGCTGTCAGTGCTGTGATTTTCTAAAGGCTTAGGTCTCTGTACTTCCAGTTTTCATTTAAGGAGGTAAGTAATGAATCACAGCGAACCACTAGGTTTATTTCCAGAGATACTATAGAACTTCAGACTCACAATTATACTGTGGTTTACACCTAATTTTTGTAGTATCCCACTATTATTCAGAACTATCTCTAGCTTTACAGGCAAAGGAGCTTTTATGAAAGTTATTTACCATGTATCTTAGAGGCTTTTTGACAATGTCACATTTTGAGGGAAGACTTACTTCTACCATTTCACTGGCTAACGTGTCTTCAGCAGACTGCTTTCAAAGTGTACAATTTAACACTGTGGTTAAATTTCAACAGTACCGGTCTCTGGGGTGGAGACTGGAATCTGGAGTCATGAAATGTTATTTCTAAAGCATTCTGATAGACAAAATCATGATGAAAACATGTTGTGGGAAAATAAACTATTAAAATTCATTAATATAAGAAAAGTGTATTTTTTAAATATACTTTTTTATACTTTAAATATCTTAAGTATATTTCTTTTAAAAATTAAAAAAATGAACATCTTTTAAAGGGTTATCCTAATGCAAAATCCCTCTTTAAATATAACTAAATTAAATCAGTACATTATTACTTTGTTTTAAGCAGGCAACTATAAATATGTAAACATCTGTCTTACAACATTTTCCACAGTAACCTCTTCCATTTGCTAAAATATTCAAGTCTGAACATTTTGAAACAAACTAAAACACGTTATAGCTTTAATTAATCTATAATTAATTTATATAGATAAAAAATGCATTCACTGGAAGAAATCCTATGTCTAAGAACATATCAAAAATTCCCATCAAATTAAAATTAAATATTAAGAGAGAGTTTCATAAAAACTAAAATATGGAAGTATCAGTCCCTAGTCATGAACTGCCATTCACACCCACTGCTACCACTGAGGTAATTTGAGGAACTACAGGCCACTGTAAAACTGACTCTATACAGCTTAGTGAAGACCAAACACCAGGAACACACAGCAGATAAGGACCAAAGTTATGCAATTAAAAATGACCACCACACTTCTCATCCATAGTTAAATCTCCCTTTGGGAATACAGAGAACACCACACCCACCCCTCTCTGAGTCTTCCAATGAGGAATTCACAGCTTGGTACCTATTTCTTTAATTAGGTCAACTCCAAACGGAGATAAGCCTTAATGAGTGTGAGTGTTTTGGGATGAGAAAACGGAAGTTTAGAGAATTCAGGCTCTCAGTTTTCCTGTGACCCAGCATCTGCATTGCCCCTAACACTCAAAACTATCCTTTCTACTTGTTTTTTTTTTTTTTGTTGTTGTTGTTTGTTTTGTATTTCTGAATTCCCTGTTAAGAATCTTATTCTGTCACTTGTAAAAGTCATGCTATTAGCTCTTAAATGACCAAAATATCAGAGTAGCCTGGAAAACTGTACTACATTTCAAAGGTTCTGTTAGGTATAATAAGCAAAAAAAATTCTACAAATCCCACCTGATGATCCAAATATATGGTGTTCCTTTGAAGATGATGTGAAAGAATTTCATTCTAGTAGGCATCAATCAAGAAACAAAGGGATAGAGAAAGAGGGTGTAGAATTCATGAAAAGGTCAATTTTGAAATAAGAAAAACAGGTAGTTTACCCCAACCTACTATGTCACAGTATACAACTTTTCACATACATGCTCCCCTGTAAACTGTACAGATGACGTATTATAAAATTATACTTAGTTTTGTAAGAAATTAAGTAGACATGCACAGAAGCTAATATATTAAGCAGAAAAATCCTTCAAATGGCTTTAGCAGACTCAGTGTTAGAAGTTTTACATGTTAATACTTTTCTGCACCATAGTACTACTTCTTTGGATGTTTCTCATATAACCAGAGTCTATTAAACCCTTTGAGAAATGTTTACGTGTGTTCATTCTTTTAATCAAGAATGAAAGAAATATCTTAATCTCTGATATTTAAAAGGCAGTGTTATTACAAGTGTAATCAATTTTCAACTTACTACTTTCCAGGAATTACACCATTTTCAATATGCTTTATCAGATGTGGAAGCTACAGTATACGGCAAATGATAACACTGTTTTGAAGTCTGTCTGCATTTCCTATCTCATGACCAAAAGTTGGTGCGTGAGCGGGTTGGAAGGCTAAGAAGAAATTTAACCTACCTGTGTGTCCTTTTAATAACATATAAACAAGTGAATTCTCAAAGGGTCAATAGGAGATCATAATGTCGCTGCAATGATTGTATGGGCTCATGCTCGACACTAACAACACTGATCAAACTGATTAATGAGTGGCTCAGAATCAGTGGTAATGGCAGACGACACATAGAAAATTCTTCATAGCTGACCTTCGGGCTGTGGGCCTCAAGTTTCAGCTGCATGAGCTGTGCTAACGTGTGTTCCCGGACACTATTCAGTTCGGCCTGCTGCCGTCTCAGCTTTATTAGCAACAGCGTAAGCTCCTCTGGCTGAAGGAGTACAATTTAAGAATCCAAACAGTGGAAAACAGATTAATTGTTGCCTTAAGTGACAGATATTAAACCAAGATTTCTTGGCAAGTTTCCTCTTATGGTTGACATCAAACATAGTGCCTAGGCACTATGATGATAGATCCTACATAAATGCATAGATATCTAGAGAAATAGAAGGAACAGTGTTACTTAAAAGATACAGCGAAACAACAGTACATTCAGGCATTTTCTCAGAACTCAAGAGAGAATTAAGTGTTAAGTACAAAAAAGCACAATGCCAGAAAATCATTATAAAGTTTTGTATGTAAGAACTATTAAATTATTATTATTCAAAGAAATTCTAAAATGACGCCTAAGACTTTTACAGCAACAGAATACCTGCATGTCCAACATTCTATTGTAGGGAGCAGAAGGTAAATAAAAAGAATTAAACTTCATTTAAAACTTGGATGATATCTTCCTATCATTAAACTCAGTACCTGGGATCTATTAATTGCTTCCCAGTTATATTATTAAATGTCACTGTTAGGGGATTCACAGGATTTTTTAAATGACCAAAAGATCAGTTTTTATTTTTTAAGGAAAAAAAAAAAAAGACAGCATTTTATACAAAGAGAAAGGTTCCATGAGTATATAAACCCTCTTCCCACACTCTGGGGCAAGCAGAGAACTTTTGATTCCTGATTGGTTACTATGATCCCTAAGGGAGATAAATTTTCAAAGGCAGATAAAATTCCTTAATAGGCCAATCTGACATATTTTTGTTAGAAATGCAATAAGGTACGGTTGTTGGCAGACTTACAGGTCATAAAATATTAGTTGGTGTTTCTCTGAACTTTGCTATGATTAAAAACTGTAGAAAGGCCAGAGGGAGACTCATCACCTGAGGGCTATGGTGTGCACTTGAAACTTCCAGGCCAAAAAGCATTCCTGAGATGGATCTGTCTTGCCTATACCACAGGGTTAACACGAGCTCTCTTCTATTCTGTTCATTTGTTGCTGTTCTTTTTTTCTTTTCTATACAACAAGTTTAAGGGACAGAAGTAATTTTTAACTGTTATATGAAATTATATTAAAAATTATTGCCTTCAGGTGAGAAAAATCTCAGAATTAAAGCGCAGTTACTATGGGATTCTTTAGAAAGACCAATCGACATGGATAAGACATTAAGGAGTCAAAGAATATGTGTGTTATGTCCTGAAGAAGAAATTTCATAACAGGAAAAGAAGAGCTACTTTTGCTCTGATGCCAACCACATCTGGTGACCTCAGGACTATGGGGCGGTCTGTCTTATGACCACCATATCAAGCTCTTGAGGTCCTGCCACAGAGAAGGTAGGGTTGTGTAAGGGATTTAGATATTCTAAGACCCAGAGTGACCAAAAGAAGGAATCTTGAGACTCTGGTTTATTATTTGCTGAGTTAAAAAGATAAAGAGATTTTCAAAAGGACAAAAGGTTCCAGTAAGTTTCCTATATACTTAAACTTTGAGGCAAAATAAAAACAGGCACATTTTTGACCTGCAACAAAGGAGGTAATAAGTAAATTTTATCCTCAATATCCACTAGAGGGAGCAAGCACAAGCTAAAAATTCATAATATGATACTTATTAGCATTATCTTATGATGTATGTCTGTTTCTTCGTCAGATCAACAATCTAATATGTAAAAATTACAACATTTAAAAGTTTTTAGTTTTAATCAAGTAATATTTATAACCTTTAATAAATAAGCTGCCAGTAGCTTAAAGCCAGAATATCTTTCTTATATCTAAGCACATAAAGGATGAAAAAGGAAATAAAACAATGTCTGCAAAACACATAGAACATGAATTTGTTTTGATTCCTTCAGGAGGACAATTTCAAATGATGAACAACTAACTAGATCCTCAAATCACATCTTCACTGGAACCGAGACTACCTACTGACATTAAAGCACAGATAAAAGAATGCCATTAAAATTAAACGATGTAATGAAAAGTCATCCTTTCTCTTTAATGTGAAGAATAATAGTGTCCTGGTGATAGAACTCCTTCCCAATTTGAACATAATACTGAGGATGAAATGATAATGGTAAGTACTTGCTAACACCTCGTGTATTTTTATAGTCTCTCTCTGCATAAATATGTAAATCAGTTTTTTCCCTTCTAAAGTAGTTAATCTGTATAAAAATTCACAGGAGAAACTTCTTAAGAGGCCTGTAGTGTGACTACACATGGTTGCCTGCTGTGTTTGTTCCACTAATCAACTACTCCAACTTCTGTTTTAAGAACAAGGAATTAACATTCAATGAAGTAAACAAACCCACTCAGTTTATACAATAAAATCTGAAAATATAATCTTATATTTAGGCATTCAGACATTTAGGGAGACATATCCAGTCTGACAATGAAATGGTTACATGATCTCAGATTCTTCTAATGAGCTTCTCTTTCACAAAAGCTGCAACAGTTTTTCTTTGGGAGGAACCCCTTTTTCAAACTTAGAAGCTCTGTCGGATATGTGCTATCATGTGTAGCACATATATAAACCATGGTACGGTAAATAAAAACACTGAACTCACCGTTTTGCCTTGGAGGCTCTGGGGACTAATAGACTGCAAAGTCAGGCCAGCTGGCATTGACCTCCTGTCAGGCACATAGACGTGCTAGGAAAATAAGGGTACAATATAAGTTCTGTGATCAATGTCAGTGACGAGAAATCTTCTTACATTATAAAATATCATTAAAAATTTGCTATTACTGCTTATGAATGTAGGTATTAAAAGTTATTTGCAAAATGGTATCTAAAACTGAATCAATGAACTTTTCATACTGTTAGATTAATACCTACTGGCTTACAGACATAACTAGGAGAGATATTGTGGGTTTGGTTCCTGACGGCCATGATTAAGTGAATACTGCAATAAATCAAGTCAAATGAAATTTTTGGTTTCCCAGTGCATGTTAAGGTTATGTTTAAAATATGCTGCTGTCTATGAAGTGTGCAATAGCATTATGTCTAAAAAAAATGCATATACCTTAATTAAAAGATACTTTACTATAAAAAATGCAAACCATCATCTGAGCTTCTAGTGAATTATAAATCACTGATCACAGATCACCTTAACAAACAATAATAAAATGGTTTGAAGTATTGCGAGAATTACCAAACTGTAACACAGACACAAAATGAGCAAATGCTGTGGAAAAATGGCACTGACATTTTTGTCAGAAGGACTGGTGCAAACCTTCAATTTGTGGAAAAAAAAAAAAAAAGCAGTATCTGCAAAGTGCAACAGAACAAAGCAGGCCTGTGTTTATGCTCTAAGTGAATTTTTTACCCATCTTTGATTCTGTACTATCAAACGCTGTTCGTGAGGAAAATACTGGATCAGTGAGTTATGCAGATGTTGGCACCACCGGTGTACAGTATCAGCACCACACATCTGTTAATACCACTACCAATCCTGAAGCGCCGGAAAGCTGTCAAGCTCACAGTGGCAGATACATTTCCAAAATTCTAATTCTTGCTTGAAAGCTCCTATTTGTCATCAGTGACAAATACAGAGTTGTTTTCCTGGAAGTGACAGGATAACATTTCACTTTGAGATGTGTCTGTCAAATACCAAGTCTGAATAACTATAGTTTGTCTGTCATTCGTTCTTCCAAGTAAAAGTGGTGTTTCATGAAAAAAGGAGCTAGTCCAGCTTGCACCTGAAACGCACACATCTTTTTCTGTAAGTCAACCCTAATATTAGCACTTTGGTATGCAAGAAAAATGTCTTCAACATATTTCCCATTTCATCACACAGAATATTAAAATGACATGTAACGAAAGGTCAAGATGAATAAAATTATCTTTTACTGCTTTGTCAAAGGGATTTTTAAGTGAAACTGCTACTTTATTTCTACTGTGAGTGTGTGGCACGGGAACTTACAGTGACCACCACTAGTTTGGAGCCACTCCCTTGATTTATGTGAAGGTACCAAAACCCACCGTTGCTTCTGTGCTATTAGAAAATGGTAACACAGTAAATATCACCTTATTGCCATTGTAGAAACAGTTTCAAGCTTATTTATAGACTCCCTGTAAGGGTCATGGGAACCCTTGAGATCCATGGACATATTTTGGGAACCACTCAGCACATCAAGGAAAACAACAGGATAGCTTGAAAGAAAATTTTGGCAATGTTTAAGAAGTTTTTGGGGAGAGAAGCAGTAGACATCAGTTGACAGGGAACTAGACAGCAAGCACACAGTCATCTTATATTTGTTATTGAAACAGATGATAAACTAATACTAATACCAGGAGAACACTTTTCAACCACACACTAATCAATTGTATTAGAGCAGATCTGTCTTGAATATCGTTTTTATTTATTTTACTTGTTTGAAAGAGTGAGAGTGCACATGCACGCGCACAGAGAGGGGCACAGGGAGAAGGACAAGCAGACTCCACACTAAGTGGGGAGCCCAACATGGGGCTCGATCTCCTGACCCTGAGATCATGACCTGAGCTGAAATCAAGAGTTGGATGCTTGACCAACTGAGCCACTGAGGCCCTATTATTATGATTTTTTTTTTAATCAAACATGATTTAGCATTTGGATATACAAGTGATAAAACATCAAACTTTATTACTGTGGAGTTCAAAGTGAGCCCTTTTTTGGGTGAGGCAAATTGAAGCTTCCTCAAAAAAAAAAAAAAAAAGAAAGAAAATCCTGATTGACTTATTCATTTCTAACGGTTATTTATGGAAAAGTCAAACATACACTTTATGTAATGTTATAACTAAAAGATTCAGTCTGTCAAAAGGATACTAAAAGGTACATTTTAAAATGGTATAAAGCAAAAAATTCTTTAGAATTAAAAAGGAAACGACAGAAAATTTTCTTTTCGTTTTAGGATAGACATTACAGAAATTACAGAACGGGCTGCATGTAGGCTGCTGATCAAGATGACAGCTTTAGTATTATAAGAAGCTAACTAACACAAAGCACTGAGTGCACTCATAATCTACTAAGCAATGCTTAAACCAACTGCAAGTACAAGTTAAAATATGATTGCTATGTGAATCTTAATTTTATTTTATTTTATTTTTTTTTAAAGATTTTATTTATTTATTTGACAGAGAGAGATCACAAGTAGACAGAGAGGCAGGCAGAGAGAGAGAGAGAGAGAGAGAGAGAGAGAGAGGGAAGCAGGCTCCCCGCTGAGCAGAGAGCCCGATGTGGGACTCGATCCCAGGACCCGGAGATCATGACCTGAGCCGAAGGCAGCGGCTTAACCCACTGAGCCACCCAGGCGCCCTGAATCTTAATTTTAAACAAGCATATACACCAGGGCTTCTTGGTACATTGTTCTTCTGATATTAAACTGGGCCATCTAAGGAGATATTTCGATAAGCCATACAAGCAGCTGGTTAGAAGATGAGGTCAGCACTTACCTAAGCGAAGAGTGGGACGAGCCTGATGTATGAAGGCAGGTATGTTGGAAGGGGGCAGGGGTCGAATTTTCAAATGTGTGAGGAGCCAATAAAAACGCAAGTGGGCTTAACCTACATGGACAGCTGATGAGCTACGCACAGAACAGTGCATAAAGCATCTGCTCAAAATAGCTAGTTCTGTGCTCTTGAGAGATGATGCATTGCAAGCTTAGGTTTTTATATGTGAAATTCTGACACTGCAGATTATTCTTGCTTAGTTTTTAAAACAGAAGAGCTGCCTTGCTTACCTCCTCCCTATATTTTTGTCTTTCATATTTTCTAATTAATTAATTAATTAATTAATTTTAAAGATTTTATTTATTTGACAGAAAGAGAGATCACAAGTAGAGGCAGGCAGAGAGAGAGGGGGAAGCAGGCTCCCCACTGAGCAGAGAGCCTGATGCGGAGCTTGATCCTAGGACCCTGAGACCATGACCCGAGCCGAAGGCAGAGGCTCAATCCACCGAGCCACCCAGGCACCCTACTTGTCTTTCACATTTAAAAGAAGGCATTGTATAGACAGAAATAAGACAGAGCATCCATAAAGCAGTAGTTAATGCAGGATGAGCAGCTAGCTTACCTTAGGGTGGTGGGCCCTGTGCCTGCGATCTATTGTCACATCTCCTCTCTGAATTGGGGAAGAGACTTCTGATCTGTACGTTCGTTGAGGGGAGTATCCCTGATAAGCAGCTATTGACCCATGGGAAGGTGATGTGGGAATAGAGTGCATGGTCTGATCAGAAATATTAACCATGGTTTTGGGACTGGTCAAAGGACCATGACGAGGGAGGGTGCTCTGCTTATTATAGAACTGACGCTGCTGCCATTCGTAAAGCTGCCACATCGTGTCATCTCTCATTGATCTCCGTTTCTCTTCTGCTCCAGGTCCTACTGCTTGGTCGTGAGTGGAAGGGGTTACACTGCAGATACTTTCCGGCCTGGTCTTGCTGTTCCTTGGGAGTGTTCTATAACCCTCGGGATAGCGAGCCATAACCTGGGCTCTGTGGCTTGGCATATTTCTTGGTAATGTCTGATAAGAAATTACTCTAAAACAAACAAACAAAAAAGAATTGAAATGTAAACATGAACAAGAGAGTTGTTTCCTAGATTCTGAATTAGAGTACATTTTTCCCCCCTTCTGGTAAGTAAAATATATATACTGGGACTTACTTTTAAAAAGTTGATCACAATTGTACACAGGATATAATCATGAATAGATTTTAACTTTTTTATGAAATTCAGTTTGATGAATTTACTACATTAAGTAAGAAACATCTTTGTTATTTACATAAAAGACTATTCACACAACATACAGTTTGGTTAAAAAAAGGAAAATACTTATTAGTAAGAATGTCTAAGGTCTAATCTCAAGTCTGTCTCTATAGCTTGTTTTTAGATCAATAGACGCCTAGAATCTTTTCCTACATCTCACCAGAACACTTAAGTGGGATCTCTGTGTAGGAATGAAATCCTGAAGCTTTTGAGTTGAGCCTACGAAGCCAGAAGACAGGAAATGAACTCCTGCAAGGTTTGTGTGATTCCTCTATTGCAATGCTTCCTTCAGAAAGCATGACTATTTCTGGAAGAAGTACATCAGTACATTTGTGGTTGGAAGAGAAAATTCCCCTTGATAACTTTTCTTAATTTGAAAAATAAAAATGACTTGAAGCCAAAGCTCAAAACTGAACCATTTGAAGACAAAATACTTGACCATGACAATATTTAGATATACAACTACAAAACTCAGGAATTTTCCATGTTTCTAGCATAGAAATGAATATTCCACCTTGGTATAAACATTTGTGGGAGGCTTTCTAAAGCAATCTAAAAGTTCCTCATGGACATTAAGCAGCTTAAATAAAGTTCTCCTAAAATGCCGTTGTTTTTGGATATGGATACATTAGGTCTATTACTAAGCACAGATTATTTATTCCAGTTTTCTAAAATGAAAGAATAAAGTAGAATTTTAGTTCACAATTAAAAAAAAAAGACACTACAATAAAAGCACTGCTCTGAATTTATCAAAACTATCCTTTTGCTAACCTCATGCCAGCAGATACATTAAATAAAAAGGATTTTCAAGAAGTCAATTAAATTAATTCAATTAAAACTTTCAAATCAAGTTAGCATTTGTGTTTCCCCACTATCTTCAGAGGTAGTCATTAGATGTAATTACACATCAAATTCTAAATGCAAACACAACCTTTTTAATAACAGTAACCACAATAAAATCTAGATTTAAAAAGATCAATATTAAATCATAACTATTCATCTTATGCTAGCATCTATATTGGGGATAAATTTATATCCTAATATAAAATGTAATTCAATAAACCAAATGTGGGAGAGTTGGGCCCCCACAAACTCAGGTTTCCTCACCTCTTCTTTCAACGTTTAGTTAATGCTTTTCTTCTGTGTACTGTATTTTCAACACAGAGCATATTTTGGAATTGGGCATGCATAATTGCATAATATCTTGCTGTCTCCTGCTGGATGTTAAAATGCTCAAAAGGCTGGTGATTACATAGACCAGAAAAGGTAGAAGACTCAACGTGTAAGGTACTTGACCACACTCTTTAATCATCTGGGGATCCTTGGCTGGTAACCTGGATGTCAGAGCTGTGTGACCCAAAGACCGCTGTCAGTAACAATGCCTACTGATGTGCTGTAGTAAGAAGACTTTGTTGTGATTCGGTGTAATGAACTGGGTGCATCTGAGCTACGAGGTATGGGGAAATAAAAATCCCTGTGTAATTTGTGCCTACTAGGGCACTAAAATGATGTTATCTTTACACAAACACCAGAGGGAGTCTCAAATATACCTTTTTTTGTGGCTTAAAGCACCACAGAAGGGATAAAGCCATGAAAAACATAGCAATACAGTGGAAAAATAGTAAAGAGGAGAAAAACAGTTGACCCAAAGTCAGGAGGGCCAGGATCCTTGCTCTTCTACTGAGTACAAAGACTTTGGAGTTCATCTGGGACTCAGACAATGTCAGAGTGTGTGGTAGGTTTTTTTTTTTTTTGCAAGGTAGGTAGATGGGGTAGTTCATGTTTTGAGGACAGGGTAGGAAAGACCAAGAGTATATATTCCTTTTAATTTTATTATTTTAAGTGATCCATAAGCCCAGTGTGGGGCTCAAACTCATGACTCTGAGGTCATGAGTCCCAGGCTCTACTGACTGAACCAGGTACCCCTCATATTCCTTTCTTTAAAAAAATTTCCTCATGTAACCTTTAATACCTGGGTTAAAGAATAGTCCATAGGTCAGCCAGAACTAGAATGAAGTCTCTTATTTCCTTAAGCGGGATTCTTTTCATTATGTCAATGATACTCAAAACTTGGATTTAATGAAAAAAGCGAAATAATCCTTCTATTTGAAGAAATTTCTCCCAAACTATGACAATTATTAAAAAAACTTCTCAACTGTAATGGTTTAATTAAAAATAAAAATAAACCCCCAAATTAGGAAGGGCATAATCTTAAAGTGCTACTAGAATCCTTCATATTGCTACCCAAATCTGGCAAACTGAAACTTTTAGAGATTTGGTTTTCTTATCTATAAGATGATTTGATCACAAAACTATCTTACAGTTCTAAACTCCTTGTCTTACTATGTATTTGAAATATTTCCAATTCCTTCAACTGTTTCCCCCTAAACTAAATTTCCTTCATCATGCTGGTTGTTCCTCGGCTTCTCAAAGTCTTCACTTGTAACAGGCTTGCTCAGAATTGGACATTTTGCCTCCCCCTCCCCCACCATCCCCACAAGAGCTACTGCAAGCAAGGCTAATCACTGGATGCGTCTGGGGCTGGAGCGAAGGAGAAAGGTACCCAGTACTCTGATATAACCAGCATAAAGGTTCAATTCTTTGCTGCTTTTTCACCACACGTATTTCCTATTTTTTTCTCTGCTTGGTCTTCCTTCGTATCCTCACCTCTGTTCACACTAAAGCTAGAAACTGGAAAAAGTCCAGAACTGGCAACCCCACAGCTATCTGCTTAAGAAGTGTGTCAGTCACAGAAATCGATGACATCCTAGAAATTCTGTCCTAGAACTAAAGCAATTTACCCCAACATACCTTGATTTGGTCATTTACAAATTCAGTAACTTTGGTCATTCACAAATCTAAGAACTATTATAGAGAAAATACGCAAAAGCTCTGTACTAAGCACTGAACTATATCATATAAGAATACATGATAATATAAATACTAACTTTATATCCAGTTTGGAAATATGGGAAAAGATTATTTATAAACATGTAAGGATGGGACAAACATTGTTAATCTAATATACAATTAAAAACAGTCTATAAACTAATGTTTAAATTCCATTTCAGAAACTACTGCATCAAACACCTCCATCAGTGCTCTTGAAGCATTCACAATCTGTGAGCTGGACCCTCTTGTAGAGATGTACATGGAATGTGAACTGTTAACATACCATATGATCATTAAGAGTAGGCTAATTAATGATTACAAAATTTAAAAGGCTCTTCTGCCATCTTTGGAACCACCTTTGAAGAAATTTAATAGAACGTTAGGTTATTATCAAGTAAATTTATTTTTAGCCCATACGCTTTCTAGCATTTTGAGACCTGTTTTTCAAAAAACTAGTTTCCTTCAGTGGTTTTGCCCAAAGAAATTCAAATTAAGCAAAGTGTGATTTACTTTTAAGTGAAAGCTTAAGAAATGAACACTGTGAGCTCCTTCATCAGGTTTGGTGCTCCATTCACCAGCAGCTGCCTGTCAAACACCATGAAAACCCTGTCCCTGGGATTCTGCCACGCAGAACAATGGATTAAGGCACCATGCGTCTTAACAGTGCTTGCCATGCACAAAGAAACTTAAAAGCTCTGCTCACAGATGCAGGGATCTACTATTTGACTAAATATTAAACCTCTTTGCTTTCTGTCAGAACTTTAAAAGCAAGCCTTTCATAAAGTTTTACAAAATGAATCACAATATGAATAACCCATATGCTTCTTTCCAGCAGTAAAAATTATTTCATTATAAAACATTACAACTATTTTTTAAATATGAAGTTCATATGATAATGTAGATGATCTATCTCAGTGACCCAAAGTACACTCTAGCCAGAGAATCCAAAGTTGGAGGGGTGAAAAACACAGGAAATCCTAGCTCAAAATAACCTTCATAAGCCGTAGGTCTGCATTCAAAAGAAAAAAGTCACACAGAAAGCCTTTACGTATGTTAATTATACCAATCAAGAAACCCAGAAGTTCTTGAAACTAATGTTTATGCCCAACAATTAAGAAAACCTAACTTCTAGATGTCTGTTGAACCTTTTTAACTATAGTTTCAACTGTAAGAAAGTATGAAATCACTGAGGACAGTGATTTCACTAAGAAGTGAGATTTAATTTGCTGGGTAGAGATTCAGCAAATTTTCTGGCTGGGATTTTTATTATTGTTTCCCTGAAAATGGTTACCTTAAGTACAATCAAACATCTGTTCAGCCTCCGCCCCTGCCCCGAACTAACTCTGGCTTCTCTTCAGCCAGAAATAATAAATATGTCTCACAATTCTCCCCTGGGAAAATCAGAAAAGTGAGTGCTGAGGGTGGAGAAGAAAATGAAAGTGAACACATTGTGGGAGTGTTTTTGCAGTGCTGGTTGAGGTAACAAAAGATGAGGCCAAGTGCACCCAGGCCTTTGAGCTGTTCCTGAAAGGAGAGACTCTGGCTGACAGGCACTGAAGCCAGCCACGCCAACTGAGCAAACTGGAAGAATGTTCCTATACCTCAGGAAGTCTCACTGTTAGGTTAATCTTCATTTAACCGAAACACATTCATGTCATTGTTTTACAGTTTTCTACTACTGAAGGGTAAGAGTCACAGTAACTTCAGGTAATTCTTCCGACATTATTTTTAAAAATTTGTATCACCAAACTCCTGCCTAATGACAGAACACTGTTTCTCATCAGTAGGTGCCTGCTTTTCCTCCATTTCCTCTGGCCTTTACTTTTCATCTCCTTTGCAGGCCCCCACAATCTGTTTTTTTCCCTTAAATGTAAGTGTTCTTTCAGGTTTTCCTTTAGAATCTTTATTTTACCCAGCTAAATCTTTATTTTACTCCAGCTAAATAAATTTATCTTCTCTCATCCTTCCCTGTAAGTACTTTTGATATAGTGATGATGCCCCAAACCTTATTCAAATCCAGATTTCTCTTGGGAGCTATATAGGCTTCAGGCACCTCAAATTTAACCTCTCCACTCATTTATTATTTTCTCTCTTTCCAAATCTTCTCTACACAGTTAAAGGCACTAAATACCACCCCTGATGGTCAGAGGCCTCAAAGCAGGGTGTCATTCTTGATTTTTCCCCTATTACTCAAACTAAATTGCAAGGGATAGCTTACAATCAAGCATATCTAAGCACTCCACTCGTCAATCCTACCTTAAATACATCCCTTTCTTCTCCTTATTTCACTTACTCCAATAGCTTTTGAACTTTCTCTAATTTGTACTCCAGATCCTGCAGCTGGAGAGATCTTTCTGAAATGCCAACGTGAACACATCTCTTCTGGCTTGTCTCCAGCCTCGTTTCTCCTGCACCATCACAGCCGAAGCACCTAAGCCATACTGGATGTCTCTGGGTTCCTTTTCCTGCTCCCTATCCACTCTGCAGTCTGGCCTATCTAAACCAAGACAAGCATGCCACCTTTACATTTACATGTTCTTGTATCATGCTCTTCCTTCATTTTATCACAGTATACTGGACTTGTTTAACTTTCTCCTCTACAGGGTAGGGATCTCTGAGAAATCTGGACAGAACAATGGGAGATATAGAAAAAAACACTCATGTCTGATTACCATGAAGAAGAGAGACAGGAAGCTATAATGCCTAAAAACACTACTTAAACTAGTATTTTTCAATAGGTGTGTCAGAAACCAATCTCCACGGGCATAGTGTGAAAGGAATCCGGGTTCTGAACACAGAAGGACAAGACACTTACCCCCTGGTTTCTTCTTCATGACCCCTCCCCTTCTGGATTTTAATCCATTGTTCCAACTGTTGCATTGAGTTTGTTCTCTGGATGACTCGATCAGCCTCTGTGTGTAAAGGCCCTGTACTTGGGTGATTTCCACCTCTAAGATCTGCCAGGCTGACATTGACTATTTTGTTCTCCGAACTATTCACACTGACTGGCCTATAGTGTCCAGTCTGAGCTGGGCATGTTGACCCGCTCTCATATTCAGATGGCAGCGAATTCAACTTTACGCTATTAATTTTTGTTAAAGGTCTATCTTGACCATCCTTCTGAAATCCGTATTTTTCAGCTTCTAATGCCTTTTTTTCTTCACTTTTGCTTATTTCCTTGTTTTTCTGGTTATTTTGGACCTCTGGTTTAATTAGCACTCTATGGTTGGGGAAGTTATTGATTTCTTTAGTTGGTGCATTTTCAGATGTAATCTTGTCCACTCTGAAATCAGAGAAGAAAATGGTAAGTAAATCAGATGAAATAATGCACATGTTATTTCTTGGATTCAATCTAGAAAAATGTAAAATTACCTTTGACTTTATTAAAAAAACTGGAAGGGTCATAGAGGCTAAGCCTGTATAAATCCAATATTGTGATATGAAAACTCAAGCACAGTATCATACTGCATAAACAGAAAGGAGGTGGGGGAAGAAAACATAAAATATATGGTGTATATAAAGCACCAAAGGATAAAAAGTGATGAGTAACCCCATTAGAAATCTGGAAATAAAGCAAATTAGGATTGCCCCTTGACAGTAAAACCACAAAATCCACACTTGAAGGACTACCACAGCTGATCATTTGAAATAAACAATGTGGCTTCCAGCCGGGAGGAGGGATTAACTCATCTTGAGACAAACGTGAGTCTGGTTTGTGCAAACAGCTGCAAGAAGAAGTCAGAGTCTGATACCGTCGAAGATGGGAGCCATAAGACTAATCAGCATGTCTGTAGTACTCAAGAGGACCTGACTTTTGGTTAAGGGCTCTCACAGCCAGACTGAGCTGTGTTCAGCTTGCAGCAATGCTTCTTGCTGACCGTGTCTCCGGACAAGGTGTGATTTACCGTGCCTCCGTCTTCTCTTCGGTAAGTGGGGGTAACTGTAGCACTAGAGTTACAGGATTGTGTGAGGACTAGGGGAGCACATCACTGGCTGACACAGACTTTATCACTATTATCATTCCGTCTCATCAAGCAATTTTGGAGTAGAATCTGGCATTCCATGTCCACCTCCCCACTGGAAGAATGTGCTGCCTGTCAGTACGTGACCGGGCCTCGTTTTATTGCTCACCATTCCAGTGGTTCTAGCTAGGTCTTTTTGATGAGAATCAGCTTCTCTGATACCAAACACCTCCAGACACTTGACAAGACCAAGCTGAGTGTCTAAACCTGCACGAAATCGTGAAGCTCATGCTGTGCTGGGAGGCCTTTCCAGAACTGGCCAAGCACCCACACTTCAGTACAGACTACAGCCCCTATCCGATGCCAACATGGTATTGCAGCCAGTGTTAGCGACGGGCAGGAACTACACAGCCCACACACATACAGTTATAGACAGAGGTTAGAATATGAGTAGTGAGGGAAACAAGGAAAAGAAAGGGGACGACTTTTCATAAATTTTTGTGTATGATCGATATATTTAGGTTGGATATAACTCACAGCTTCTAGATTGGAAGTAGTATTAGACACTGGGAAAGTTTACAAAGATATGGTACAGAGCTTCTTTCTCTTAAAAGATAGAAGATTTACACTTTTATAAAGGCATATTTATCCTTATGAAATATAGGGGTGAAGGAATGGGTTTAAGAGTGAATATCAAATATCTGAAAAAAAATTTTTTAATCTGAAAAAATTCTTAAACATAGTTACTTCTAGTTAATTTACAGCTATTAATTTATATTAGAACAGCACTGCCTTTTTTTATCTTGATTTTTCCAAAGACTTGTCATTTAAGAAATGTCATTAAAAAGACATATAGTGCTCGCTTCGGCAGCACATATACTAAAAAAAGACATATATACTGACTTTTCAAATGGGAACAAATGAGTTTACAGGAAAGCTAGATATTTTATCTCTTTGGTGATATACTCTGATAAATATTTGTTAGGTATTCTAGCCATAAAGGAAAGATAGCCCATTACCTTAAAACCAAGCAAAGAAACTCTTCCTATACTTATGAAATATTACAATAATTAGGTTCTTTCCGTTTGAAATATTAAGTGAGATCAACAAGGCAGGATAAAAATGCCAACAGCGAGAAGTACAAGAAAAGACACAATTCCTACAGGATAACGGTGACATCAGGCTGGGCACATGGGTGGTCTTCAATAATTTCTGGCTGAGTAAATTATATCAACACAACCTGCTAAAAATTGTTACAGGCACATAATCAACTAATAGGTTATCAGAAGTCCAACCAAAATACTATTATTTTTATCATTCTAAATTATGAGTAATAATTAGTTTTTAGTGTGGAAAATATAAGAAAAAAAAGGAAGCTGAAATTCTGAGATAAGGGTAACATACAATATGAGATTATCTAGAAATCATATATTTAAATTATAATACAGATTTCTTTATTCTAAATAGTTCCTTGAAAATTTTACTTTAAGGTTAAAATTATCTTAGGATTTTAATTCTTTTTACCTACACATTTAAAAAAAACCACAAATATATTTATATAGCATCAACTTCAGTCTTTTAACTAGTGAGTCAAAAGACTTTATTAGTATGTACACTAACCCTCCTCCCTACCAAAACTAAAGATTTCTATTGTAACAAGCCCCTAATTCCCTGAGAAGAGAGAAAAAAGATCAAACTTGCAAGTAAGCATCTTCCCTGTGTAAGGTATATACTCAATTGCTGCTGACTGGAAAAGAACTTAATTGTGTCACAGATCTTTCTCCAAAACACGGGAATACAATTTTTTTAAAGCACATTATTCAGCTGCTTTTTAAGTAGTTGTATAAACAGATTTCCTCTCACTAGTTCTTAATATAGTTGATTATTAAAATGATTCAGATGTTAAAGCAGAGAAAAAGAAATCATGAATCAATTTTAATATTAGATATATTATCAAGGAATCTAAGCACTAAAGTTTCAAAAGAAAGAAGGCAGAATTTATCAAGAAACAGATATACTTAGAAATGATTTTAATGCTTAATGGGCTGTTTTCTGGAGACATTTATCATAAAATCTTCAGAATTAATCAGGAAATGCTGAATAAATGAAACTCATCAAAAATTTTTATTTCTATTTATTACACTCCAAAAAAATACAACATAATATAAAAGCACAATAAAATTAACTTCATGAATATAAATTCTCTTTTAGGATTTAGGCCTTAAAACACTGTCTTGTGTAGGTTTAAGATAACAATTAAAAATGTACTTACCGGAAATTAAAGGTAATTCTGTAAGAAGAAAGAATATTCAGTTTGAATGTTAGGATTCTGGATTCACCTCAGTACACTGATAGGTGAAAATGAATAAAGAGGAAATGTGGAATAAAAATGCAGGTGGTATCTCAAATTAACTAACGGTATATTAATTTAATATAGAACATGAATTAATCCTTGATTTCTGAGGAAGAAATGATTTCATATCATGACTAATAAAATGGTATGTACTATGATAACGATATACACTTGCCAGGCATGGAATAAAATGTAAGTGGCAATCACCATTATCTTCCCTACAAGCCTTTACCTTTTCACAGGTTCTGTCTGTACTAGGGCAGCGTCTAACATGGCTTTCATCCACAACTCCATTTCCTTTCCTGTATCAGTGCAGAAATAATAGGTCCGCATGTTTGGATGGGCTGCCTGATTGAAAATGACAGGATCATTGTAAACAGATACATGGGATCTGTAAAGGTAAAAGAAAGACAGTTAAGTGGTTCCCTACATAGATCATCACTATCAACTTTCTAAGAGACCAGACTTGGCTTATATATAGTTACAGAAATAAGTGACTTAAAATATAATTCAATCTTGAAAAAAATATAACTATTAAAATGTCCTCCCAACATTGCCATTTTTCCTCTGAAAATCAAAATGAGGAAAAAAGGTGTGTGGGAAGGAAAAGAGGTAAGAATGAGGTTCCTTGTTATGCTTCCTTGCCATGCCTGTTCCATGTATGTGTCCCTAGCAATTTCCATTTACTACAATTTACACCTCTTTATTCAAGAATGTTCCATTAAAAATAGAACTATCAAACAATCCAGCAAATCCTCTTTTTATTCAAAGAAAAAAACACCAATTCAAAGAGAAATATGCATGGGTGGCTCAGCTGGTTAAGCATCGGACTCGGCTTGGGTGCTGATCTCAGGGTCATGGGATAGAGTCTGGGATGGAGCCTGGCATCAAGCCGTGCTGTGTGTGGAGCCTGCTTGGGATTCATTCTCTCTCTCTCCCCTGCCCTGCTGTGCACATGCTCTCACTCTCAAATAGATAAATAAACCCTTTAAAGACAAAACAAAAACCAAAGAGATATATGCACCCCCATGGCAGCCTTATTTACAATAGCCAAGATAGGGAAGCAGGCTTAGTGTCCACTGACAGACGAATGGCTAGAGCAGATGTGGCAGACACACACAGCAGGGTACTACTTAAGCATAAAAAAGAAATGGCATCTTTCAATGACATGGGTAGACCTGGAAGTCTATTATGCCAGGTGTTATACGTCTGATGGAGGAAGACAAATACTGTTTGATTGCACTTGTATGTGGAACCTAAACAACAGAACAAATGAACAAACAAAACAAAACAGAAACAGAGTCAAAGATACAGAGACAAAATTCTGGTTAGCAGATGCAGGAGGGATTGGAGGGTAGGAGAAAAAGATGAAGAGGATTAAGATGTATAAACTTCCAGTTATAACATAACTAAGTCACAGGGATATAATATACAGCATAGAGAATACAGTCAATAATATTGTAATAATTGTATAGTGACAAATGGTAAGGAGACTAATTGTGGGGATCATTTCATAATATATAAAGATAGCAAATCATTATGATGTACACCTGAAACTAACTGTATGCCAATTATACTTCAACAAAAAAAGAATGTTCTAGAGCAACTAGCAACAAAATTAATAGAAATATAGCATTTCCCCTTTGTGTTAGCAATTTCTTCAGTCTTCAAAAGGTGCTGCTGTTGAAGCATTTTATTTAATCCTCATAGACACACAAATATAAAAGATTAAGAAATGATCCAAAGTGGTATTTCCCTTTAGTTTTTCATTTCAAGTTTCAGAGTTAAAATGTAAATATTTTGTTGCATGGAGTGTGGTGCATAAACAATGAACCTTGGAACACTGAAAAAAATAGAATTAAGATGTTAGAAAAATGTAAACATTTTGGGTTTGAGGAAGGCTTATGTAAATGGTTAAGTGGGTTTTTATCTTTATAGTGGTTCAATCTGCCTCTGTTCCTAAGAAATGGAAGAAAAATGAAATAAAGGCATCAATGAGGGACTCCTGTCCAATGCGTGAGCACTAAGAGCTCAGCTTAGCACGTGGGCTGACAGGGCAAAGAAGGACAGCAGTAGTAGCTGTATCAAAGTAGAAAAAAAGGGCAAGGTAGAGAATTCTGTGGAGGAAACATTCTTAATTTCCATGTAAAAAACGCCTGTGACAGTTTCCCATCACACAATGAAAGACAAGGAAAAATAAAAGTTATCCCAGCATACAATGAGGTAAAGGAGAGTACGAAGTACACAGTCTGCTGAATATAAAAACTGGAGAGGAATAAATCTGGAGCTACAGACTTTACTCTGAAATCTTGACTATCTGCTTCATTAACAGTGTCAAAGTAGCTTTTTTTTTTTTTTTAAAGATTTTATTTATTTATTTGACAGAGAGAGATCACAAGTAGACAGAGAGGCAGGCAGAGAGAGGGGGGGAAGCAGGCTCCCTGCTGAGCAGAGAGCCCGATGTGGGACTCGATCCCAGGACCCTGAGATCATGACCCGAGCTGAAGGCAGCGGCTTAAACCACTGAGCCACCCAGGCGCCCCTCAAAGTAGCTTTTTCAACAAAATTTTTTTCAGAAAGAATCAAGACAAATAAATTCAATGAACACAGTGATCCAAATAGCTCTATAAGCAACATATCTCACTAGACTTTGTTGGAGATATAAAACTATCCATGGAAACAGTGTAAAAGAATCAGCTCAAATGCTACATGTTGTTAAAATGATTAAAGCCATGACTGCCTGAATAGAGTTTTGGAGAAATGAAAGAAAGACCACTGTCCACATCTGTAATCAATGGAAGAAACAGGGCTAGTGCTAGAGGATCAAGGTACAGGCACAACTTCTATGCCAACAAACCACACCATGCCTGCCAGGTGCCAAGTAGAAATATTTACTAGATAATGACAGAGTCTGCTATCTAGCTTTAAGTTCTACAATCGTCCATCAAGTTTCTACTCACCATTGTGATAAGCAGTAGCTTCAGTGTCAAAAGTGGCTCATAAATTTGAAGGAAACAACATTGCAAAAGAGAGAATTTGAGAGAGAAATTACTACCCTTGTTACACAGAAAATAAAATTAATATCAAAACCAAATAATTACAGAGAAAGTACACCTAACACGCATTGTCACTGTTACTGAGACTTCAACATCCTAATACTTAAGTCTTAAGAACCCAGCAAAATATCCTATAAGAGTACATTCAATGAACTTTTGCCAAATTGATGAGCAAACACAAAAATTAAACTCATGATCAAATAACAGTATCATACAGTCTTACATGTGAAAGTAACTTTTATCAATTTATTATTTTAAGTTACCAGTATTAAATTTTGTTATAGCATCATAAATACTTAATTCTGCTTCTCTGGTTTACGATGTTAATAAAATTTATTGAAATTCCATGCCATTCCCTTCTTACCCACAGTGTCTGCTCAGACATCACCTTCTCCTTGAGGCCATCCATCACTACCCCTCACCCCCAACCCCCACCCACCACTCTAACTTTCCTGCTTTTTTCTCTATAGCTAATAATGCAATATGTTAATTAGCACAAGTTGTAAATAAGCTGCAGTCCTAGGTATTTAAAAAAGTGGATGGGCAGTAAAAATGGGATCAGTTTTATAGGGCTGCAAACATTTTCACTGTTAAATTACAGCATATGTTACCCTTACCTTCCCCTTCAAATGAAATTTTTACATCAAACTCTTCAGAGTTCTTAAAACTGACTTAAAAAATAAGTGACCTCTAAAATTTATTTCAGCCACAGTCATAAAGCAAAGAATGCAGTATGGCTTTTGAAAATAAAAATAACCAAAATATCATTAAAGTGGCCTTTAACTTGAGGTATTTCACAAATCAGCATATGAGAAGTGGATAGGCATTGCTAGTCAAGGAGAGGGGTTAGGTCTGATTGGATTTAGTAAGTTTTAAAATCTCAATGTCAATACTATCTCAAAATTACCTGATGTTCATTATGTACTTAGACCCAAGAACATCTTTGTAAATACTCTCTAAGATCATAAACATACGTATGTTAAAAACCACAGTTGTCTCCTTACAGTCCTCTTCCCCAAATTTATTATGAAAAAATTCAAATATACAGTATCCTTTAAAGAATAGTATAGTGATCACCAGGACACCTACAGCTATATTTAGCAATTATTAGCATTTTCACATATTTGCTTTATCTAGAACCACTGTGAAGTACAGACATGAAGACACCTGGCCCTTAGATATTTGGGAACATGCTTCCTAATTAAAAGGGATTCTCCTACTCAAACTTAAGACTGTTAATATATTTTATATCCATTTTTAAAATCTGTGCAAGATTCAAATACAGAATTAAAAAAGTATGACTATTTCCTTACCTTAAAAGCGTATTTGCGATTAATGTGGTCCTCAGAGGTAAGCATAGCTATTTGAAAACTAGGTAATAGTATGCTTCCCAGGATACCCTCTTCTTTCTCATCTAAGAGATAATTGAGCATCTGATTAGAATTTTAAATGTTCTCAGGAAGCAGAATAAATTTTCTCAAAATTTATTCTGATCCAATCAAAAGGTTCCTATATATAAGTGAACTGTACTCATGTGTTGTTTAGATAGTTCTTTTAAGTTTTTAAAGGAAATATTAAAAAGCCCAAGTATATATACTTCTTCATTTTCACTAAGCTTCCCCATCCTAAGCAAATCAGAAAGGGTGCTCACACATCAGAAAAATGTCAATTAGACATAAAAAAACCATATATTTGTTTGGCATATATACCAGTCTACAAACCCCTTAACATGTGATTCACTGAAAATATATTAGCATATAAGTAATAACACAGAAACCTTAGAAAATCAATTTCTGGTAGGATTTAAATGCCCACCCATTTCAAGCCAGGACAAATGCACAGCTCACTTGCTCATGCCCTCCAGTCTGGCTCAAATGTCTCCTTATAAAGCCTTCCTTGACCACACTGCTTCCCATTCTAACCCATCCTAGAGCCCTCTCTTCTCTTTCTGGAACTTTACTGCCCCAACCCCCATACCTTAGACATACTACATGCTTTATTATTTATTTACCAACTCTCTCTCCCCACTACAATGTCGACTCTAAGAATGACAGTAGATGCTAAAATACATCTGAATAAATATACATTTTTAAAACTATGCTATAAAAATTATATGATTTTTAAAACATATAACTGTAGTTAGCTTTTACTAGTCATTCTGATACACAATGAAGTTATGGGAATAAATTACAGGCCTACAAGGCAAGCACATAAAACACACCCAGGAAAATGATAAAACATTAATCTTGGCACAGTATAGATTCACATTATTAACTTGCTGCTTGGGGGCAGAGATGTTTACGGAACTCGAAATATACAGTTCATTGTTAGAAACCCGTAAGACAAGTTAATAAAGCTGTGCATTAGGCTGATGAACTCAGCAATGAGAAAAACCATAAATGAGAAATAATTCTTTTTACTCTGCTTGTCATGTTTTTTAATTATCATAAACCTAACAAGGAATTTTATTTATCTTCCTCAGATTTCTAATATATATGATGAAACTTCCAAAAGAAAGTTGCATTCAATAGAGGTTATTTCTGTAGCTTTTCTCATAAGGCAACAAAATTCTCTTACTATAACTGTGCTCCTTCAGGTAGAGTTCACTAATAAATGAAAGAATGAACACAAGTGCAGATTTAGTCTAAAAGGTTAAAAAAAAGAGGTAGAAAGCAGCCATCAATTATAGAGAATATGAGAATTTAAAAGAATGAGTCACATTCTACTTTTAAATCCATTTTGTTTATATAAAGATATAATCAGAAATAGCTCATGAAGTCATCTTTATTAAAAATCATTTTTATCAAATAATAATTCTCTTATGTTGCATTATTGGAAACGGTGACTTTTCCTAAAGTTATTTCAGAATATGCAGAGCACTATGGTGTAGGGTGACTTCATGGCCTCATCAGAAATGGTTTCCCAGACGGACACTAAGCAGCTACGAGATCTTGGCAAGTTATCGATGCTGGGTATCTCTGTTTTATCAACTATAAAACTGAGGAAAACAGGACTTATTGCAAAGGATTGTCGTGAGGGTTCAATGAGCTAAGAGACATGAAGAACTCAATAATGCACTCAGCCCATTTGAAGTGTTCAATAAATAATGCCCTCATTATATAAAACTAAGGGCACTGCATTTATAAAAATCTTCATCTTTTGTCAAATGACTATCCTAAGAGTTCTCCACTAGATTCTTCAAATGTTCCTAATCATGACATTCTTCTGTTTAGTTCTGTCAAGTCTGACCTAAGTAACTGTCTTTCAGCTTAAGGGCTGCATACACTGACAAGCAAAGAGTGGGTACTGATTATCTGTAGAAGGAACAAAGTCCCCCGGTGGCTGAGACGGGCCTTTTGTTAGACTGGATGGCAGCCCAACTCCCTCCACCCTAACCTATTTCCTTCCCTGCAGGTAATAATACTCCCATGAACACTCCCTGGTGGGGCTCTTGCACATTAATCTCTATCACAGAGCTCGCATCCTGGGGCCATAATCTGGGACAAGAACCATAAGAATCTCAACGTTGATTGGATTCAAGTTAACATTTTAGACTCCCCACTTCTACTTCAGCTTTAAAGATATTTGGGTCAAAGACAAAACAGACATATAATTACAGCTGGGTACATAACTTACAGACTGGAATATTATTACTAGTTATCATTACCTAGAATACGTCAATACTTTGTTAACTGGTCTCCTGGCTTGTAGTTCCAAGTGCTAGGGTAATTTTTCTAAAATGTGCATTTGATCCTATTATTATTCTTGCATTTAAGATAGAGTCAAAACTCATTAAGATTGTAAACAAATGCCTTCTGTGCATCATTTTATTTTTTAGCCTTTACTCCTGCTATGTCTGCAGGCATAACCTTCATTCCAGCTACATAAGTCCCATGTGTAATTTTACAAATATGCCCTCATGCTTTGAATATCTTTTATTATTATTATTATTTTTTAAGATTTTATTTATTTATTTGTTAGAGAGAGAGAGAGAGCATGAGCACAGGCAGACAGAGTGGTAGGCAGAGGCAGAGGGAGAAGCAGGCTCCCCGCTGAGCAAGGAGCCCGATGTGGGACTCGATCCCAGGACGCTGGGATCATGACCTGAGCCGAAGGCAGCTGCTTAACCAACTGAGCCACCCAGGCGTCCCATGCTTTCAATATCTTAAGTCCACTGTCTAGATCACCCTTCTTTCCTAATTCTTTTCGTGTACACCTGGTCAACATTCATTCAACACAACTGAACACTATGACAGTCCTTCTTAGACTCCTTTAGTTAATCTGTGAGTTTCATGAAGAGAGGAGTTTATATTGTTCATTTCTGTATCCTACTACCTAGTAATGTATCAGTGCATCAAAAATGCTCACTGCTAGCTACCACCTTCATCTGAGCCATTAACATTTTTACCTAATAATCCCTAACTAGTCTCTGCTTCCTTCCTTCCTCTTTATAATCCGTTTTCCAAGAGCAGCTTGAGTGAGCGTTCCACAATGTAAATCAAAGCATATCACTCATATACCGAAAAACATCCAATTGTTTCCTTACGGTACCTATAGAAGAATTGAAATTCTAGTAGAATCTGACATTGGTGCAATCTTCATTCCTCCCACCTGCCTCCCTACTGCCAGCCCTCTAGCTGGGTGCAACGGCTTCCTTCAGCTCCTTCATTGTTCCACTTTCCTAACCTCAGAGCCTTTGCACTCTTGCTCCCCTGCCTGAATACTATACTCATCTGGCTTTTCTTTGTCATTCAGACCTTGCTGTCTAAAACACATGCTCAGAGGACTGATCCAAAGAAATCTTTCCTCCATGCATGTCCTTCATACGATGACCTTATTTTCCTAAAAGCACTTATCATCGTATCGTTTATTTATTTGAATTTATTTACTGTCTCCCCGATTCCTCTAGAGTGAAGCTTCATGAGAACTTTCTTTCATTGTTTTGACAGCAACTGGAATGAAGCAGGTCCTGCTCAATAAATATTTGCTGAATGAATTAAATCCCATAATAAGTATTGTCAGTAGACAGACTGTAAAATAGAGCAATCTGTGTTCTGTCCTAATATGCCCGCTACTTTGCAAGGAACAGTGGAAACTTGAGCTTCCATCTGGTATTGGCCACTAACCTACTGTAAAAAACAGCAAGTTACTTATTTTGTCTTACTTTCCATATCTGTGAAATGTGGACTGATTTGTCAAAAAATGCTGACAGTGCACTGTGTATGTACATCAGTATACTAGACACTTGGAAAGATGCAGAAGAAATGAATGGGGGGCTGCTGTATTCAGCAGGTTAAGGCAAGAAATCCGTATAAGGAAAAATCCTGTGGTTCAGAGAAGTGCCTAGGTCTAAATTCTGGCTCTGACAACTTGCTAGCTGTGAGACCTAAGGCAAACAATACGACCTCACTGCCAGTTAGGGTCCTCTTGTGTGAACAGGCAAAGTAAGATCTCCTACCTTGTTAAATGGCTATAAAGAACAGATAAAATACATCATCTATGTTACATGCTCAGCATATGGTAAATGCTCAAAAAAATGCACGGTATTATGATCATCTCACTAAAATCTGGTAGTTTTTATTTCAATTAATTGTCAATTCAATTGTCAATTAATATTGACAATTCCTGTTGATAAAATAGTGAAAGTGTATAATCTACTCATTGCCAACCATCTGAAGTGCAGAAGTGAGTTAAATGATGTTTTCCTTTTTACACTGCTCCTGTCTGGCAAACCATACTAAAATTAATAAATATACTGAGTATAAAATGCACCTGGTTAATAATAATATGGAATCTTACATTCAGTATGGCTTCTGAACTCAACATTTACATTTTAAAAATTAGGTTAAAAGTTATTCTATTTTACTTAAGCAGTACCCTTCCATGAGCAACAACAGCAAGTTATAAGGAATTCAGTGTTCTTTTTGTTGTTAATTAACATTAAGGAATTTTATATGAGGGTAGTAATAAATATTTTTTTGTTCTTGTTTAAAGCTCTAAGTAGACTATAAACTATAAAAGAGAGAAGTACAAACTATAAGCTTAGAAATAATGCTTGGTTATATATAACTCCTACTTTCTGAAAGAGTAGAAAAATGGTAGGAAAATTTTAAAGGAATTTTTAAGGAAAATTGTAGAGTATGGTTGGCACTTAATCTAAAGATAATACCACAATTGCTGTCTGACCAACATCTCTATGACAAAATGAAATTTTATAGGTTTGGTTGATTCTGACTCAGCAGTATTTCTCAACCACAGTTTGCAGTGGGGGAAAAATAGATGAATACCATTCTGGTAATTTCAGATTGGAAGGTTAAGATGCATTATATTGCTCTGATAGATGACCACAGAATTTCATCACACTTTTTGGGCATAATCACAAACTTCAAAGTTGTTAATCAGTTCTAAAATCCTCTTATATCTTGTGAAATACTTATCTAGAAAAGTTATAAATTATTAAACATGCTTTGACACTCTAATTCTTGAGTGACTGTTTCCAACTGAACTTTAAAGTAGGAAGGAAAGAGTTACGGTCCAGATTCTTGATTTTATATTACAGCCGAAGCAGATTTCTATGGAGAGCACAGCCTTTGTAGATTTTTCTTTGTTAGGTATGAACCATGTAACATCTAACAGATCCATATAGCACAGAGCAGAGATTTCCCTGGACTTGGCTCTAAAATTGCATCCATCAATAACTTACTAATAAGAAAACATATTTAAACAAGGAGTTTATGATGTCCATATAGGAGAAATGAAGACTATGTCCCCATACCTTTATTTCCTCTACACCAACATTAACAGCCTGGTATATATACCTTACACAATTTTCTTCATGTCTCAGGGAGGTTGTCATAGTTTAAGAAAAGGAGGATACATGGTAAGTACATTTCTTTGTAGTTTAAAAAAAAAAATCGCCAATACATCAGAGTAATCTCTGATACTCTCCAGACATCTGCTGGGGAGTGCGGTGTGTTCAATGAATCAACAGCCGGATCTAACAAAGCTGACACATTAGAAGAATCTCATCACACTAATAACTTTAATCCGTTAGGCACCCAATTCAAGGATAACATTACAAAGTGAAGACTGATATGCTATTTACATAAAACATAAATAAGATTCACACAATCAAACTACAGAAATCGGACCACAACTCAAGACTAATCCTCTTAAAGCACTATACTGTTTTCATAACTACCTCAACTGCTCAGTATTATATATGGATGAAGAAAAGGTTTTCTTGATATTGTTTGTTGATAATAAAACAACCAAAGAATTGTTTTCTTCTTTAAAAAAGTATCCTCTATTTAACATATTCTGTTGCAATTATGAGATAATACACTAAAGACAGTTTTTGGGAAACTTACCTCTATAATAAAAGAGGCAGAGGTCAGAAAGCACGAACCAGCGTTTTTTCCACAGCTTCATGCCAGTACTGTCCTAAATTAAATCAGCATATTAAAGGTTTTTTTTTTCCCCATTTCAGAAAATTCAAATTCCTTTCTGATGCATTTATTTAAAATAAGCTTTTAGGACAAGATGTATATAATATAGGCTAGACAGAAACCTAACTAAAAAGCCAAAATATGGAGGAAGTTTTCTAGAGACTTGGGTCACGCGAACATGAAGGTATTCCCAAGTATACACATCACTGAAAAGTCATACTCTCACATGAAAAATACTTTTGAAGCAAACTGATAAGGCTTCCTATTTGTAAGCGATTTGAAATTCACTTTTCTGAACACACATCTGTTAACATGGGGATAATGTAACTATGCAACATTGTATATATTCTGGTAAACCAGATTTAATAAATACATTAATCTTCAACAACAAGAAAAATATGTGATTTGAAATCATCCCAAAGGTAATGTGATTTAAAAAGACTAGGAATAAAGGACTCTTAGCATACAAATACATTTCACAAACATTTTTTTTCTTCCTACATGGACAGTTTGGGTTTTGCTCATCCTGCAAGAAAGAGTGCCTCTTTGGCAGCTTCTTTTAAGTAATTCAGTTAATAAAAATGCCAAGCTCAAACAAAATTATAATTTTAATAAAAATTACCTTCCCCCATGCAATAAAGCAAAACTACAAAAGAAAATGAAACACACACACACAAGGCAAGAGAGAGGCCAGTTTGGATGTGCGTTAATATTTCTTATTTATTTCTAGTTGTAACCACCTAAATATGACTTTAGAACTTCAATTATATAGGTAAAAATCTCGAAACAAAAGATTTGTCCTTAAAATGGACAGTTACATCAAAGGACCAAAAAAAAAAAAAATCTTTTTAATGGTATATGGTATTTTTAGTTCCTAATCACATTAATACAAATAATTAAAAAGTTTAGACTTTCGAGTGACTCTGCAAACTCTCTGTAAGTCACATATCTATTATAAAAGAAACACTCATGGGAGAGAAACTCATTGGTAACACTTTTCCAATATAAATTAATCAAGGGATCAAGAAACGAAAACAAAAATCATTTTAAAGAAGTCCCATATCCTCTATTAGGCTTAATATTATGCTAAGCTATCTGAACATGATTTGGACTTATTAAAAAGACTAGCTAAAAAAAAAATCTTTCACGGACACCTTGGTGGCTCAGTTGGTTAAGCTGCTGCCTTTGGCTCAGGTCATGATCCTGGGGTCCTGAAATTAAGTCCTGTATCAGGCAGGCTTTCTACTCAGTGGGGAGTCTGCTTCTCCCTCTCTGGGCAGCTCCTCCCCACCCATGCTCTCTCTCCAGCCTGCTCTCTCAAATAAAAGAAATAAAATCTTAAAAAAAAAAATTTTTTTTTCAGTTTGGATAAATTTAAATGTCATGTAGTTAAAATACAGATGATTTTAAAATAAAAATTAAAAATTGGTATTCAAGTTATATTATCAACTCAGTGGACACTGGCAAAACTGTTTTGCTTGAATGACTGGGAATTCTCAGGATTTTAAGAGGGCCCTCTCTAGATATGTGTTTAGTTGTCACCCCAACTTTCAGATGGAATGATGTCTAATGAATGTTGCATAACAATTTCATTATGAATTTCAGTAACTATAATTATTAGGTAATCTGAAAGCTATTAGCAATATTTGACTGAATAATTAGCACCATCAATGACCTAATATTTAACTCTTTATATCATCTATATACATGTATAATCAGAGATAGAACAAAGACAAAGGTCTTGAATGCCAGTACATTATCTCAATTATCTTGTGGTCACTTAACTTGGAAACCCAGCTGCAAACCAGAAAGTCAAAAAGAAAAACAGCCTCTGAACAGTAAAAATAGATGTTGGAAAATCAATGTACATAAATCCTTACTAATTCTCAAAATAATGGCAAGGCTCCAAAAAAGCTTAGTTACCAGGTTTTCCAAACAGCAGAACAATATACACCCCCAACTTATTAGGGTGTCTGAGAGTGAACCATGCTAAGAGAGTAGTCTTGAGAGCCTAAAAACAAAAATTTAGAAAAATCTGAAAAATCTCAATTATGATCAGATCTCTCTGTAAATTAAAGCAAAGAAGAATATAATTGTACACATTTAATGATTTCATAGGAATAGAAAAATGAACAATACCTCTGTATGTTTTTTCCCCCATTTAAAAAATGTTTCTGCCTGGATAATTTTAGCATATTATTGCTAACATTTTCATATAGCATGTTTAATTTCAAATCTAGAAATACCTGTAACAAACACACACTATCTCTATTCTAAGTAACCGTTATCTTTTCCTTCTTTACTGTTCCCCTAACAGTCTTCAGTAGTAATAAAGAGAATGTGGATCATTACTCTTCAGTTCTTTCTCCATTTTATGTAACTGTCTTAGGGATATTCAGCTGAAAAGGTCTCTCTTGATTCCATCTTTCTTTCACATCAAATAGAAAATAAACAAAAAATACCTGTTTATAAAGCCAACCTCGTCTGACCACAGGTGCATTAGGGTTCCTCTTAATTGAATTCGATCTCTTTCCAAAATTGTGAACTTTTTTTGAAGCTCGTGAAGTCTAAATAGAAAAATGCAAAACAGAAAATGTGTTATTAATGTGTAGGTATTTGTATTTCATCTTCATAGTTTTATCTCTTCAGATTTCTCTGAAACTTGCAGGACTTAATCTTTTTAGGTGAATTATAGCAATTCTGCCTTTGAGGACTTCCTTGTTTCAAGTGTAAGAATTCACAAAGAATTTTTCACCTAGGATATTACAAAGAATCACAAGTTTTACAATCTGTCCTTTAAAATTGGAACATGCAATTTTTTTAAACAGTTTTTTTTTTTTTTAAGATTTTATTTATTTATTTGACAGAGAGAGATCACAAGCAGACAGAGAGGCAGGCAGAGAGAGAGAGAGGGAAGCAGGCTCCCCGCTGAGCAGAGAGCCCGATGCGGGACTCGATCCCAGGACCCTGAGATCATGACCTGAGCCGAAGGCAGCGGCTCAATCCACTGAGCCACCCAGTCGCCCCCAATTTTTTTTTTTAAACAAAGGAAGAGAGAGAGTAGAGCGCCCATGCACGCACACCAGTTGGGGTCGGGGGGGGTGGAGTGGGGTGGAGAGGCAAAGGGAGGAGAGAGAGGATCCCCTGCACACTCCAAGCCCAGTGTGGAGCCTATCCGGTGGCTTGATCCCTTGACCCTGAGATCATGACCTGAGCTGAAACCAAGAGCTTCTCGGTTAGGGCAATGAACATTATCTGCAGCTAAGGTCATGATCTCAGGATCCTGGGATCGAGCCCTGTATTGGGCTCCTTGCTCAGTGGGGAGTCTCCCTGAGGATTTCCTCTCTCTCTCTCTCTCTCAAAATAACTAAATAAATCATAAAAAAGAAAAGAAAAGAAAAAGGTACAATGTATGGCAGTATTTTGTCCTACCTGCTATATAAGTTGAATAAACCTTGGGTAAAAATGAACAAATCTTTAAGAATTAATGAAAAGTAGATTTTTTTTTGCTTGCTATCTGCTTTTATTTATTTAAATATTTTTATTTGTTTATTTGACAGAGAGAGATCACAAGCAGGCAGAGAGGCAGGCAGAGAGAGAGAGGAGGAAGCAGGCTCCCTGCCAAGCAGAGGGCTCGATCCCGGGACCCTGAGATCATGACCTGAGCCGAAGGCAAAGGCTTAACCCACTGAGCCACCCAGGCGCCCTCTGAATTTTTATATAACATAAAATGCTAGTAGGATAACTGAGCATTATAATGCTTCATTAATATATTTTTATCAAAATCTAGAGAAATGATAGGTAGGTTGAGGGCCAGCCAACAAGTCATTTATCTGGAAAGAAAGTTGGATCTGAACCTCAAACTTTACACTAAAAATTTTCCAGGTAGATCAGATATAAAAATGTTAAAAACAAAACTATAAAAAAACTACAAAAAAGAATGGAAGATTTTTAAAAATCAAACAAACTCAGAATGCAGGTGGGCTTTCTAAATATGACATAAAACCCACAAATCAAAATAAAAATGAGAGAGTAAACCATACATAATCATGCGTGCATATCTGCAATTCATATAACAATAATACCTTTAATGTTCTAGAAATCAATAAGAAGAAAGCTTATAACCTAGTTTTTAAATGGGCAAATTAGTAGCTGGCCAGTTAGCTCAGTTGGTTAGAGCGTGGTGCTAATAAATGGGCAAATTATGTAAAATCACTTCCCAGAAAATGAAATTTTATTTTTCAAATATATGAAAACAATGTTCAAACTCACTCATAATATGAAAAATGCTAACTAAAATAAAAAAGGCTACCATTTTTCACATATCTGATTTTCAGAGGTTAGAAAGTTTTCTGGCACAGTACTTTGACAACATTGTGGATAAACAGTCATTTTCTTCATGTAATAAGCTCCAAGAAATAGTGGAACAAATATAGTCATCTGACAAAGGAAAGATATTCCACACCTATTAAAACAGTTATTTTAAATGAACAGATGCACACAGTTGGTATTGATTGCCTCATGAGGTGGTTTGGGTGCCAGAGCCCAGAGGTGAGAAGTAGATGGGTCCTAGTATACCATTTGAGTTTTATACTGTGTTTAAGCATTATCTGAGAGTAAGCTAAAATTAATCAACAAACACGCTTTGGGGAAAATGTGGTTGATACGGGGTCTTAATATACTATTTTGTACTAACACACGTTTCAAAAAACCAAATTCTAATGAAATATGCTAGATTCTAGATAAGTTGAAAAATTAGAAATGATTTGATATCATTTACTTTTATGAGAACTCAAATTCAGCTTCTTTGTTTTTGTTGGTTACCACTATCATTCCTGCCAAAGTAAATCTTCATGCTAAACAAAGCAGTATTTCAGAAGATTGTGTACCCTTATGGACACTTTTAAGAATACAGTAAACACCATCTGTCTTGTATTGTTTAAGTTCAGAGTTGCCCAAGGAGAAAATGCTACATGACCTTAAGCAGATCCTTCCAGTCCTGTGTTGACTTGATGTGATGTTTTATATTTTATATCCGAGTATTTCTCTTGACATTTGACTTTACACTGTTCACTTTCTATAATTGAAACAACACTATTAAAAGCAGATAGCAGGGCACCTGGGTGGTTCAGTGGGTTAAGCCTCTGCCTTCGGCTCAGGTTATGATCTCTCAGGGTCCTGGGATCGGGACCTCGCCGCTCAGCAGGGAGCCTGCTTCCCTCCCTCTCTCTCTCTCTCTCTCTCTCTCTCTCTCTCTGCCTGCCTCTCTGTCTGCTTGTGATCTCTCACTGTCAAATAAACAAATAAAAATCTTTAAATAAATAAAACCAGATAGCAAGCAAAAAAACTCTTTAAATAAAATCTTTAAAAAAAAAATCCAGAATTACTTCCATTATTTGGAAATTTACATTAACTTATAATATTCTACAAAATCTCATTTTAAGAACATTAAAACAAAAAATGTTAAAACAGGCATTTAAAATAGATAATTGCCTATTATCCATTTCTTTACAATAACCATAATTTAATATTATAATTATTTTACTCTATTATTAATTTTTATTTTTTTTTAGAGAGAGACAGCACAAGTGGGAGGGGAAGAGAGAGAGTGAGAGAGAGAGAGAATCTCAAGCAGGCTCCACACTGAACATGGAGCCCGATGCAGGGATCATGACCTGAGTCAAAACCAAGAGATGCTTAACCGACTGTGCCACTCAAGTGCCCCTATATTATTTTTTAATTATAATCCCTTTATTATTAATTTTATAATTATTACTATAAAAATTTTATAATAATTTTAGATATCAAATTTTATAAAATATTTTTATTATAAGTTATTATAAAATATTAATTTTAATTATTATCCCTATATTATTATCCCTTGATTCTTTTGCATTAATTTAAAAACTGAAAAGCAACTTCAAGGCAATTATTTATTCAGATTTAGTAGCATATTTTCCAAGAGTCTGTTAGAATTTTCTTACTAGAATTCTGAATTTAAAATATTAATATTGTGGTTTAAAGTTCAAGAAGCAGTAACTATAAATTTTTTATAGACATAAAATCTAGGATCCTAGGATTATAGATTAAACAATTACCATTTTTCTTTCTAATTATAGAGAAAAACCATCCACCTCTATTTCCATTTGACCATGGCACTTTTTATATAATGGATTCTAAGTATATCAGAGTTATCAAGCACACTGGCACAAGGCTTCTCTTTGGCAGTAAGGGATTCTACATTTATTTTTTAAAAAGTCTGTCTGCTCAGGGGCACCTGGGTGGTACAGTTGATTAAGTGTCTGACTCTTGGTTGCAGGTCAGGTCATGATCTCATGGTTGTCTGGCTTTGTGCTTTGCACAGAGTCTGCTTGAGATTCTCTCTCCTGTTGCCCCTACCCACCCCTCCCTAAAATAAACAAATCTTAAAAAAAAAAAGTTGTCTACTCAATCTAGGCGTACATAACAGTCAGAAAAAGGGATTTCTATGCCATTCATCTTTTAAAACTTCAGCTGATTCAATAAATTGCCATTTTTTCACACATACATCCATTAAATTTGCAAAATTATTCAAAATCTGAACTCTATAATATTTTTTAAAAAGTCATTAAACTATTAAAACTTAATCTTACTAGTTTATATTTTACACCATTGCTTAAGTCATTTACCTCAAATGTAATTAGGTTCATGTAAGAGTAAAAATGAAATTATTATTATATTATATAATTATTATTCTATAATCCTAAATGCATTAAGAGTACTAGTAATAGATGCTACCATTACACCAGCTATCAAAACTCAACAGTAAGCAAAATAACTTACTCTGCCTATAGGACTCATTGGATGCGCCGCATAATCTGAAGTCATGTTGTAGTTAGAAGTTTCGTTTATCATGCTTATAGGTCGTTCCTTCTTCTCTTCAGGTGTCATGGTTGCAACGGTCCTGGAAATATGTCAGAATGCTAAAACTCGTTGTATATGTTAACTGTTTTACAATGAAGCTTCCTGAGAGTTAACAAAGCTGGTGTCTCACTTTTTCAAATTATTTGGATACTAGTTTCAGCTTAAGAAGCCCTAGAGTCAGAGCTTAATATTTATAACTACTTTAAATAAAATTAACATTTCTCCTAAGCACAACATAGGTTAAAGTCATGTTGATTTTAATAAGCATTATTACAGATATTCTACTTGATCATCTAACTGGAAAATTAAAACTTCAGTTATAAGATTAGCTACTCTAATATTGAAAACAATAATGATACTAAGAACTATTTTTTTGTGAATAGTGCCAGCATATAAAGTATTTTCACACATATTTCATTTGATGCTTAGAACAATCCTGAGAAAGAATCACCACTCTCTGTGATTTAAGGATGAGAAAAACTGAGCTCAAATTAGTTTAATAATTCGACCAAGTTTATAGTTTCTCTGACCTTAAATTTCCGACTCCTGGGCTTACTACCTGTGCTTGTATTGTAAAAACAGCTTCTGAGATTACGTTCTTCATGAGAGAAAGTTTTAAACTATGTTCTATACCACCCACCGTAAACAGATGGCTCTCTGCTACACTTGCCTGCAAATACCCAGAAAAGAAAACTGCTAAACCATACTGTATTGAAAATACGGATAAGAGCAATCTTATACTAATGACCTTTAAAGTGAAGGCATTCCACGGAATTCTTTACTTACTGTTCATTCACTACAAAAATACAATTGTCCTGTGATGGCTGTCCTGTGACTGGATGTTTACAAGTCACTTTCCTTTCATTGTGGCTAAAAGAAAAGAGGAAAAGAGAAATGTGTGTATGTACTTCTATTATCAGAAATGCTTTTCTAATATTCTGGTAGCAAAACAGTGATTTACTGTAACATTAATGAATAAAAGGGATGAAATTCACACCACCCAGGTATGCAGTATCCGAATACACCCTTTCTACTACCTACCACGTATATACACTGTGTGTGAATGCTACTACAGTTTTACTATACTGTTAAAATGCACCTCCTACCCCCGCATGCCTGACCTCAATTCTTTCTTCTCACATTTTATAAATAAAGGTAAGTTGATCTGGCTCTATGCTTATTACATTTTACATTTGATAGGTGGGACACAACAAATAAGTATGAGTAACTACCTTCACCTCCATTATTTTGTATCTTAATTTAGGCACACTTATAGAGAACTAATGCCAAATTCATATACAGAAAAAAAATTAAAAGTACTACTATATGGGTATTAATAAAAAAACAGTACCACAGGAAGAGCAGTATTTTTTGGTGTTTTGTTTTAGTAAAGAATCTTTACATAAATAATGTAATGGCATTGAGTTTTACGATACTTAAGTACATTATAGAAAACGAAATCTGAAGGAGAAAACAAAAATCTTAAATGTACAAGTAACAGAAAGAAAGATAAATCTACTTATTATCTTTGCTGAAAAAAATTTGCTTTCAATTAAGGATGGCTATTTCTTAGAGAAATACTATCCTTTTTAGATTGAGTGATAAGATTAGGTCTCCTGCTGTCTTCTTGAAATGAGAAGGAAAAGAAATTTCCCAAAGTAATTATCTAAACCAAAATTACTAGATGTCAAAAAATATGTAATATACATTGATAGATTAAATAGCAAACATCATCATTTGTAAATTATTTTTTCCCCCACTGGGTAACATACAATAAGGCAATCTGTAAGGAAGATGTATCATTGGTGTGCCTGACCTTAGAAAATTTACTTTCATTACAGAGAAAAATTTCAAGATGTTGTAACTGAATACTGCTTTGTTAATCTTAAGAGATTATATGTGCTCTATATTTTAGGAAGTCTATAACCATAAGACACAAACTTTACATATTTAAATTCCTTTTCTATAGCCTAACTTCCATTAATATTATTTTTATTGGTAACACAGTACTTGAAAGTTTATCCATGAAATAAAACTGAAATCACAAAAGAGGTATAGACACAATTTAAAAAATATTACATATTGACTACTGTTAGAGTAGAACGATTGATGGAATATAATGTGTTTCTATTATTCCTTTAGATAATTGGTCTAACAAGTTTACAAGATCACTAAATTATCAGGTTTTCCCCCTTTTATAAAAAAATTAAATTCAATCAATTAACATATAATGCATTATTTGTTTCAAGAATACAGGTCTATGACTCATCAGTCTTATACTTCCCAATGTCCATCACTCAGCCACCCCACCAGTCCACTCCCTCCCCTCTAGCAACCCTCAGTTTGTTTCCTATGATTAAGAGTCTCTTATGGTTTGTCTCCCTCTCTGGTTTCATCTTGTTTTATTTTTTCCCTCCCTTCCCCTAAGATCCTCTGCCTTGATTCTCAAATTCCTCGTTTCAGTGAGATCATATGATAGTTGTCTTTATCTGATTGACTTATTTTGCTTAGCATAATACCCTCTAGTTCCATCCACATTATTGCAAATGGCAAGATTTCATTTTTTATTGCTGCATAATATTCCATTTTGTGTGTATACACATACGCCCCACATCCTTATCCATTCATCTGTCCATGGACATCTGGGCTCTTTCCATACTTGGCTATTGTGGACATCGCTCCTATAAACATTGCGGTGCACATGCCCCTTTGGATCACTACATTTGTATCTTTGGGGTAAACACCCAGTAGTGCAATTGCTGGGTCATCAGTTCTATTTTCAACTTTTTGAGGAACCTCTATGCTGTTTTCCAGAGTGGCTGCACCAGCTTGCATTCCTATCAATTACCAGCTTTTTGTGATGGTTTTGTTTTTATACAATAGAGGTATTAAGATTTGGTGGCTTTAAATATTTATTTGGAGTGGTGTTTTCACTACAGAAAAGATATGTGAGTGACTTTCTAACTTGCTGATTTACAAAAGTACAGTGGTAGAAACCTAAGGTCTCATGTGGGATATCAGTTTATGTAATAAGCAATACACCGATTAACAGAAAAACTAAGAAAGTATAGCCTCTGGAGGTAAGTGGAAAATATTGAAGTACCCAGATGTGATGAATGCTATGAACGCACTGAGGTATGTAAATTCTGATTTTAACAGAGTAAAACCCTGTGGGGGTAAAGGCGGGTAAAGTAACCTGGGATAAGGATTAGGACACCTTAACGATAAAAAATGGAGGATAGCACCTTTTTTTCCTTAAAGTCTCTCCTTAAAAGCATTAAAAAGCCAGTGTTGGCTGCGTGGTAGAAATACAGAAATACACAAATTCTTAAAAAACAAACAAAACCCCCCAATATTGCAAAAAGAAAGCAAATAAACCCATATATATTTATTTACCTATGTTCTGTCATTTGGCCTAGGAGGAATACAGTAGACTCTAATCCTAATATTCCAGAAGCTTTAAATTATACCAATATGGCTCTGCAATGATTATCTGGCTAAGAGACTTCTCTGACATCCTGACCATTAAATAGATATGGGTACCCATGAGACAAAGACATACAGGAATGGAGATATTTAATAATGACTGGTTAAAAAAAGAGCACATTCTTTTTTCCAAGTGCATGTTATTTTCAATTAAATTGATGTTTTTATTGTACAAGCACTTTTCAGAACACAATGTTTTAAATTAAAACTAAGTAAAAATCTTAGTGTTCTATTTTAAAACACCAGTGACTAAAATCAATATGAAATACAAATATATTTATGTTCTTCTTTTATTTCTTCAAAGTATCCAATCTATTTTCTTTTACCTAATATTGATATTATATTGACATAAAATTCATATAAAATCTACAAGGGCACTCTAACATGAAAGTTTTTTACAGGCCTCTTAGAGATACGGCAGGTTTGGTTTCAGATGACTGAAGACAAATATTGCAATAAAATGAGAAATGAACTTTTTGGTTTCCTGGTGCATATAAAAGTTATGTTTACACTATTCAGTGTGCGATAACATTATGTCTAAAAAATGTACATATCTTAATTTAAAACGTTTTATTGCTAAAAAAATACTGTCACCTGAGCTTTTAGTGAGTCACAATCACTGATCACAGATCACCATAACAAATGTAAAAATAATGAAAAAGTTTGAAATATTATGAGAATTCCCAAAATGTGATAGACATGACGTGGGCAACTGCTGTTGGAAAAATACTGCCGAAAGATTAACTCAATGCAGGGTTGCCCCAAATCTTCAATTTGTAAAAAACACACTATTTGTGAAGCGCAATACAGAGAAGTACAATAAAATGAAACTATGACCAGAGTATTTTTTTAATGAAAGATATAACTTTTTCCTCTCTCTCTCTATCTCTATATATATATATATATAACTGTAACATAAAATAAGTAAATTCTCTCAAATGTTTATTCATTTGTTCTGTCTTATAAAATACTACTAAATCTGGCTCCTGGGAACTAATTTATTTATTATTATTTTTTAAAGATTTTATTTATTTGACAGAGAGAGAGAGAGTGAGCAAGCACGTGCACACACAAGCAGGGCAGAGGGAAAGACGAACAGGGAGAAGTAGGCTCCCGGCTGAGTGGGGAGCCGGATGTGGGACTCAATCCCAGGGGCCCGGGATCATGACCTGAGCATAGGCAGATGCTTAACAGACTGAGCCACCCAGGTGCCCTCCTGAGAACCAATTTAAACAACATATTTATCAAACAGGAAACTCACAGTAATGTTTTCTAATTTTTTCATCAAAAACAAATTAAAAGTTGACAAGCCAAAATATCAATTCCAGTCTTAACTGCTTAAATGTAATTTTCTACCACCTCATAGGACTGGCAATCCTTACTGCTCCTGTACAAATATATTTTTATATGCAGTTTTACATATTTAAAACTGTATTTGAGATATATTTTTAAATTTCAAAATCATGCCTTCTTCCGTTGGCATTTACACTTCGTTTTTATAATAATGTTGCATTTTAAAGTATGTAATGGTAAGGGTAAACAAAATTTCTTCCTTCCTTTCTCTTTTTTTAAAAGTAGGCTCCATGCCCAGCAATGGAGCCTAAGGCAGGGCTTGAAGTCATTACCCTTAAATCAAGAACCGAGCTGAGATCAAGAGTTTGATGCTTAACTGAATGAGCCACCCAGGTGCCCTAATAATTTCTAAATCACACACAGAAACTAAAAATACAAGTTAAATGAATACTGAGTGCTAAATAGTGAAAGCACTGTAAATAAAATCCAAATGAGTCTTGAAAAAAAATCTCCACAAAGCCATCTCTGTTAATGTAGAGAATTCTTTGAACACATGATAAACTAATTCTTTATTTTATATATATACATATATATGTATATATTTAGTGCTACACACATATCTTAACTAGAAACCGTGGGAGGGGGCTGGCCCACTGCTTAAGTACCAAGTCAGGGCCACTGCCATTGGCACAAAGGAGGACAGACTGCTCAGCACCAGGAGAGAGGGTAGGGAAGATTCTCAGCCTTTCTTCGATTCTACTTAAGTTTTCCTTTTTCATCCTCCACCTGCTATCTTTTTTGTACTCCACAAGTTTCTCTTTTCTTTTTTGGAAGGGGCTCAAAATTCAAATCAGGAGTACTATCAACTCTGCTGTAACACTTGTGGAAAAGTGAGTTCTCCAATGTGATTCATTTGTTAGGGAATAACTTGAGTATCACATAAATCCCATGTTTGCTTATGCATGATTTTCTCTGTGATCTTGTTTGTGTACAGAGGAAGTACACCACTTACACAACTGTACAACCCCACTATCTGCCAGCTACTTTAGCTCATCGCTTGTTTTATGAAACACACTCACTCCCATGTAGTG